GCATGAGAGCGCCCGAGAGAGTACAGGGACCGCAAAAAACGCCTTAAAGGATGGAGAATCCTCCACCGGGATAACCGTGGCCTTGTTGAAACGAGAGACGGGCGGGTCCACCACCGGTGGTGAAGACCACTTAGACACAAAGTCCTCCTCAAAGGGATAGCGAACCGAGAACCGCTTCGGAACCGCAAAGGACTTGGAAGGCCGTTTCCACGCCTTATAAATGAATTCATCAAAAAAGGAGATGTAAGGAAACACCTTGGCGGAACGTCTACACTTATGCGTTCCAAACTGCACGTGCGGCAGCGCGGAAGTGCTGGCCACATCCTCAATTTTTAGGGTCTCCCTTAACAGCGCGGACTAGCGCAGAAACCGCCTCACGTTCCTGAACGAGGAGCGTAGACGCGGCCTCATCCTCACTGGCCGAATCAGGCTGCGAGGAATCACCAGGATCAGGACGCGGTGATGTCGTGGGAAGTTCCCCTTCCCCCTCGGACCCCCCCGACAGGGCAGGGGACAGGACTGGCAAAGCCCGCTTCCTAGGCGGACGCTGCGTCAAGGCGCGCCCAATGCGCGACACAAAACCATCCATGGCAGAGGAAAAGACCTCCAAGGACAGTGCGGTACATGCGGAACCGACCACCCCCCCTGAGGAACCCGAGGGGCGCACCGGAGACTGACAAAGGAGCGCAGGTGTACAGGCCGCACAAAGAGGGGACCTAGAGGGGTCCGCAGAGCGAAGCCCACAGCCCTCACACGGCAATGCAGAGGAGTCATCCTGCGATCCATGGCCCCCACAAAAAAAAAACACTCCCCAGACCGGAGACCACCACAGCAAGAGAGAGAGAGACCCCGCAGTACTCACGACCCCCAGGTCACTGTCTCAGCCCAGCACCAGCGCCGACTCTGCAAGGTGGAGGAGAGCTGCACCCTTGTGTCCGTCCTCCGCTAACCAAATCTGACCCAGCAACTTTGTTAATTTCTCCTGGGGGAGGGACACCTTGGCTTTAAAAAGGTATCCAGGAGAAGACCCAAGTATTCTAAGCAAAGTGATGGCATCAGAGATGACTTCTTGGCGTTCAGAATCCATCTGCAATCCTCCAAGGTCCACAGCATGACTAAGACACAAAATAAAAGGCATCTCCTTCATAGAGGCTACAAGAAGCGTCCATGGGGTTTTTTTAACCTTGTGAGCAGGAAGAGTAACAAGTTTCTTCAAACAAGACATAAACCCTTTCATAACAGAAGAAGATTCAGTTTTAGTAAAAAAAAAAAAAGAAGAAGAAGAAGGAGGCAGAAGCAGTCTCTGACAAGGACACATTTATACAGTACATGTTGGAAATACAAGCTGCAGAATTCTTTCCTCTGCCAACCTCTGCCTTACAAACAGTACATACAATGACAGGAGCGGGCGAAGCTGCAGCACATTCAACCTGCCGTTTAGAAACCAACATAAGGTCTAAAGCACAAAAAAGGTATATGTAGCTTTAAAATATGCCACCAATCTTGGGAATACGAACAGCCCAGAGCAGTGTGGAGGAAAAATAAAAAATGAGGCACAGTGTCACTTGAACACAGACGGACATTACTGTTAGGAACACATGGCCATCACAGGGAGAAACATTGACCTGGGAAAATCTGCGCCTGGAGGACTGAAGAAAATTCCAGGATATTTTATGTCTCCGGCATGAATATACCAGTACTGCTGGCTGACTGGATTTCAATTATCTAGCATGAATCTACCAGCAGTTGTCGATAGCAGAAAATCTCCAAATTCAAGTGAAATATTCCAGCAGAAAGGGAGGAGACATACAATCTCCTGAGGACAGGAAGTGAAATTGGCAGGTGTGAGGTGAAAGGGGTTATAACATGAAAGAAGGCAAGCCTTCAGTTTCTATTTTGCCTAGTGCCCATTTCTCCTGTAGGCAGCAGTATAACCCTACATCACTTAATCTTGACAGGGCTCTATCCGTTGGACAATCGAGAAAACCAGTTCTGGGTCAAGCAACACTCTAAATAAAAAAGGTACAACGCACTAGGAAAATTCCAGGAAACACTCACTTTAAATGCACAAGTGGCTGCTTGATTTAATCTACACGATTCCACATCTCCCACTGCATAGGGATGCCTGTTGCCTATGGCCTGTCACAAATGTGGAGGCCCATTTCCCTGCGATGATCTCACAGGAAACACCGACCTTGGACAATCGTCTGGTGGACCGTTCCCAAAGATTCTTTTCAAGCCCTGGAATTTTCATGCGACAGTCCAACAGATGTGACAGAATGAAAGGAATTAAGAGATTTGCAGCAGATTGAGGAAGAAAAACATGATTAAGCCGACAATTCATGGTGAGTGGTCATCACTCTCAGGATGTTTGTGTCCTCTACAGGGCAGAATTGAGCACAAAGTCCATTCCCGTCACTCGATGCATCGGTGGCCTCCCGTTATCCGAACAGGGCATCCAACAAGGTAATCTGCTCATTACGGACTTAGACACGGACAAAAGGCAGTTAAGTACGTTAAACGAGGTAGAAGTAAACTGCTGCTTGTTGGCTTTTCAGCAAGATTGGTCAATAAAGTCATGAAATTGGAAGAAGAATTATCATGCGGCTGTGATAACAAAACAACCATACTCAAACAGCATGTAGAATTAAATTCATCCGATTCATTATCCAGAGCTGTCAACTTCCATCCATAACAAAACCGAGACACTCAACTCATATCTGAGCCTCGGAAGGGAACTCAATAATAACAGGACACCAAGCTAAATTTCGGCCTACTCTGTGCACTGTGTATCATAAGAATGCCCCTTTTTGTTACAGAAAATATTGTTTTCCCCTTTTTATCTCATTGTTGCTGATGTCCAGCTTCTTTACATCAACTTCCTGCCCACAAGCACTCCAGCAATGGTTGCATTGCATTTGTCAGGGTGGATTTCCTGATGATAACAAAAAAACCATGCCCACATAATTTGTGATGAAATGGCCACTTATAGTCTTCATCGGAATCCATATGACAGTGTGACAACACAGGAAGGAAATCGTGAGACACTAAAAGAGCATGGTCACCCTATGACAGGAAGTGCCTGAACAAGGACCTTCTTGACAAGATCACAAGAGCTTATTTTAATGAAAGCTGCAGTCTTAATATGATTGAAAACTACTAATGAAATGACATTAATATGTTAAAGCTTCCATCAGATTTTAGTGATTGGGTTCACATCAACTTTAATTGGTACATGTCAGGGCTGTAATATGTAGACTGCCAAAGGTAAACTGTTTTTTTAGAAACCAGAGAGAGACAGATTTGCCATTGCTATTCATCCTAGAGTTGCGAGTTCTGGATGCCCTTTAAGATACCAATGCCTATCCTTGTAACAGGTCCCATACCTCATTTGTCATTGAGAACGCTTAATGTTTATAGAAAAACCTCTCATATGAAAAAATAATGTTCAACTGAAGAATCAACTGCGCATCTGGCAAGAACCATCTCATGTCTGTGTGTAGCCTAAGGCCCCGTTCACACCATCCTCAGTGCGTTCCAGCCCGATTGTGGCTGCAACGCACTGGATCGCATTGCAGCCTGCTCCGTATGTTGTGGGGCGGGAGGGGGCGTGGCGGTGCAGTGAAGTGAATGGCACCGCAGCCACACCCTACGGCCGCACGGGAACGCAAGGCATATCAATGCCTGCAGTCCTGTCCGGTCAGGAAAAATGCTACAAGCACTATTTTTTCTGACCGCACCGCAGGCATTGATATGCCTTCCGTTCCCGTGCAGCTGGAGGGCTTGGCTGCGGTGCCATTCACTTCACCGCCATGCCCCACCCCACAACATACTGAGCCGGCCACAATGCGATCCAGTGCGTTCCGGCCACAATCCGGCCGGAATGCACTGAGTATGGTGCGCACAAAGCCTAAAGGTTCTTGAGGAACCAGCCGAAATTTGCATAGTGGGTGCTGCTTTCAGCACCCTTTCTGGCCAGTATCCCTCGATCAGCCGATCGAAGGAGCTAGTCGGAAAATCTTTGTATGAAGAGAGCTGGCAGCCAATGAGCTGCCGACTCCGTTCAGGTATTCTGACAGTGGCCGGCGGCCGCTGTCACACTACAAAAGAAACAGCGGGGATTCCTCGATCAACGCGCTGCGCGTGTCCTTGAACAAAACTGAGAAGTGTATGGCCAGTTTAAGTCGCCATTAGCACCTAGGCGTTTATGTATGCAAAATGCAAATGTTTTATCTCGCATGGTTTGCGAGTTTTGCACACGTTAGACGCGCATAGGTAAAGACGCACGTTTTCTTGAGCATATCAAAATGCATTGCTGTGAATGAGGAAACGTGTGCGCAAACGCGTACAAAATGTGCAAAACGTTGTGTAGCGCATTTTACTGCGCTTCCATTGAAGTCTATGCAGCCAAAAGTGCTGTAATTTGCCTCGAAAAAGCTCATGTACCTTTTCCAGCGTTCAGCATTTTACAGCTTGCAACAAAACTCTCAGGTGTGAACAGGGACCATAGAAATGAAGGGGATTTCTGGTGTTGAGAGTTTTGTCGCACTTAGCTTTGAGAGGTGTGAACTGGGACTTACTCTCATCATATCACTGAATTCCTCATTAGGAACAGACAAGCCCTGATCCCCAAATAAAACCAATACAAACCCTGACAGACAGACCTGACAATGTTATATACTCTGCTTTCTTTTTAAGTTAAGTATTCCTTTGAAATGACTATCCGGTCTATAAAAAAAAAACCCACCCACCAAAAAAACCCGAATTTTTCTTTAAAGTTTGGAAAGATTGTAACAGTCCATAGAATTGTAAACATTAAGAAACTGAATAGGGCATGCATCAGATAGGACATGCAACATATAGAGCTGGTCACCGGAATTTACCCGGCAGCAGCGAAAGTGGCCAGCACAGGGAATTTAGAATGTTCTAGATCTTCACTGAGCAGCCATAATTTTTGTTGTTGTAAAAAATATAGTTTCATGAAAGGACTAATGCAATACCTGCATTGTAACTATTCCAGTCTAGCAGTTTGTAAGATCTGGTGTTACCCTTTATCCCGGCAAAGGCTGGGTTTAAAACAGCAAATTAGTAGGTCAGTAAGAGAAGAGAAGACAGTTCAGACAATACTACACAGACTGAAAAAGACACACAGCACAGTTAATCAAAGTTTGGAACTGAGGAGGAGACAGAACCCGTCATGGCTAAATGTATTATTTTGCAATGTCAGTTATCAAGCTCTATTAAGTGATCAAGAAAATGACATAAAAAAACAAAAACAAAAACTGAAGTGAATCATTTCAGGGCCAACCAGTTATTCCCAGGGGATAAATGAAACCTCTGCAACCTTACAAATGAAAAAGAATCAGTGTTCTTCTAGGTCAGGGGTGAACAAATTAACATGGAATTCAGGAGCCAGTCTGTCCAAACCAGGAAAAAGCAGGATTTTCTTTAGGAACTCCACTTACAACAACCAGAGAAAACCTGAAAATGTAGGCGCCAGGTGACATTTTTGAAGGGGCAGTGGCGACCTGCTTCCTGGGATTTGTCCAGCCCTGTCCTAGGTCATATCACTGTGTTAACAAGAAGACTCGGAAAACATTTGTGAACTAGATGGAGCTTAAAGTGTATGTGAACCCAAGAGCAAAAACATAATACATTGCAGCGTACCCGTCCTTAGGTGTGGTGGCTGCAATCATTTCCTATTTCAGGCTGTATAACTTTATTATTACATGGTGATCCCGCTAGTACACACTTGCTGTTCTAGGGTGAAAATGCTCACACTGTATCTATGGGGAAGCAGAGTTGTCACCCTAGGCTGCTCTCCTGAGTTGGACGACAAACACTTACAACCTGTTTACTCATCTCTATTAAACAAGGAAGGAGTTTTCCAGTTTACAGTTGGGAAAGCTGATAACATTGCTTGAGATTTCAGTTCCGTAAGTTACAAGGACATTGGATTTCCGGCAGAATCTACATCTGATTTTCTGTAGTTGTAGAAAATGCTCTTGCTCTGAAAATACAAAACTCATGCAGCCACGGCATTGAAGGACCGGTAAGGTGCAATACATTACATATTTCTTCTTGGCTTTTGATACCGTTTAAGTCTGTTAATGCCAATTGTTTCGGCAGGTTTCACTCAGTTGATCTTTGCCCCCAAGAAAGGCCAACGCCAGAGGTGTTTGCTTAGAGAGACATGCATTTATGGGAAATATGCATATTCTCGAACCACTATGCTATTGACCAAGCAATGTGGTATCCTGGGGCAATACATTTTATACATTATATATACATATACACACGCATATATACATACACTGTATATGTGTGTGTATATATATAAAAACCCTGCCCCATCCCTGCCACACCACCCCTTCATCAGGATGCTGCAACTCTGCCCTGACTGACACTGAGTGTACAAAGTCTTATTACATCCTGCCGGAAGGAACAACAGTTCATAAATCTGCCTCATTCTCGGCTATACACTCCTTTTGTCTTTATTGCATAAAGTTACATGAGCCAATCATGGTAGGTCTACTGAATGAGAAGACAGAAAAATGGTTTTGGGGTGACAAAACAAGACTGGAAAGTGACTGATAAACTGCTGCTAAAGTGTTAGTTTGCCTTTTTTGCTTTCTTCTTTTAACTTATCAATAGCAACATATGTACCCAATACTGGGGGGTATTTATCAAAACTGGAGCAGGCAAAATCTGGAGCAGATTTGCACTGCAATCAATCAGCTTCTGTCTCATTTTCAAATCTTACCTGAGCAAACGGAAGAGAGATGCTGATTGGTTGCCATGGGCAACTGCTTCAGATTGTGTCTGTTTTGATAATTCCCTCCAATGTGTCTTAAGGGAAAACAAAGTGGCCAAACGATGGACAGAGCGTAACATAGATGTATCAGACAATAACTTACATGGAGTGAAATGATTCAGTCCAAGAACTTCCATACGAACTATAAAATCTGAAGTAATGCACTAGTTGTAGAAAATTAACTATTCCTTAAAGGGGAGAACCAAGCCGCCTTGTTGTCACCAGCTGGCAATCACAGTGGGGAAAGGATCAGAAGTGTGACAAACGTACCCGGATTGTGAATCCGATCCAGCAGCTTCACCGATCGAGCGCTGACAACACCACCGGCATGAACAAGAAAGCCTGGAGGAAAAGCTGTCAGGGTGAAAAATGGGAACTCCTACAAAACATGTTCAAGAGATAAAACATAGTGATTAAAGTGAAAAATAAAAGGAACATTCATCTCAAATATCGAGTGCTGGGAGAGGAAAGAAAACATTTACAGGGGTAACACCATCATTGTTACTAAACTCCCGATACATTAATACTACAGCTTTGCAATTTTACAACCCC